TCCCTAACACCTAGAACGTTGCTGGGTAAATGCTAAACACTCATAAATATTTGTTGGATGAGCTTTAATATATGCTTGGATAGAAGGAGGCAGTCAGACCTGGCACCCTTTGTACAGAATGCAAAATAGAAAGGAATTGAACGTTTTAAGAATGCAAAAATACCCTCCAGTACATCTTCCATTGAATCCATTTTTGAGAGTCTGCTACACGTTAGGCATTGTCCTCAAGGATAGGGATGAGGCAGATGGACCTGACAAATAGGTTCCTGTTCACTGGGTGAAGGAGACTGACAGGAGACACTTAGAGAGGGGCACCTGGATGGCTCAGTCTGTTAAACGTCTGCCTTTGGCTCAGGTCAGGATCCGGGGTCCTGGGACGAGTCCTGCATCAGGTTCCATTCTTAGTGGGGAGTCAGCTACTCCCTCTCCGTTTGCTGCTCCCCCTGCTTGTGCTCTCTCTCTGTCAAATGAATAAAGCCTTTAAAGGGGAGGGGGGGACATTTAGAGAAATACTGATAATTTGTTATGCGCTTGAAAAAAAGTAAGAGGTCGGGATCCCTGGGTGGCATAGCAGTTTGGCGCCTGCCTTGGGCCCAGGGCGCGATCCTGGAGACCCGGGATCGAGTCCCACGTCGGGCTCCCGGTGCATGGGGCCTGCTTCTCCCTCTGCCTGTGTCTCTGCCTCTCTCTCTCTCTCTCTCTCTCTCTCTCTGTGTGTGTGACTATCATAAAAAAAAAAAAAAAAGAAGAGGTGACATGAGAGTATGTAACAGGGACACCTACCCTCATCAGGATTATCAGAGGTTTTCTTGAGGAAGTGAAATAGAAGTTGAGATCTGAAAACTGTACTGAGAATAGCCAGATGAAGGATGGTGGAGAGAAAGTGTCAAGCAGAGGTCATAACAGGTGTGAAGACCCTGAGGATGAATCAACAAAAATCACAAATAGGGGCTGAGATTTTAAGGCACGATACTGAATATAGTGGTCTTCTGACAGATGACTTAAATCACCAGAACTGTCAGTTCCATCAGGGTGCAAGTCATCATTCTGCGTTTTTGTGAACTCCCATGCTACTTCACAGCTCTCTCAAGTATACATCGATTACATAATTAGTTCCCTATGATGCTTTTAACATTTTTCTTACATTAAAAATTTTTTTAATTTACAACTTTAAGGTTTCCTGTGCTTAGATGTCCTTGCCATGCAAATTCACAAGTGCTCAGGGTTCAGTCACCACTGCTCAGGTTCATTTGTGGGCGAGCGGGCTGCAAACAGTAGCCCAGGGTTCAGGCAGCACTGAAGTTGCTGGCCTTGATGCTATGGGTGGGGGCTGCAAAGGCAGTGGTGTCCTAATGAGCAGAGCACTGCTCCTTCCTTTAGACTTTCTTGCTGCAGTGGACTCCTGGTTCAAGGTCTTATTGCCCAAGTTATATCCATGGCTCTACCACAACGGGGGCAACATCATTAGCATTCAGGTATAAGGGACTGGGTGAGAGGAAGGAGGTGCCAGGGGTCCTAACCTCCGCTGCATGGCTGAGCTCCATTTTCCATTTTCCTGGCAGGTGGAAAATGAATATGGTAGCTACAGAGCCTGTGACGTCAACTACATGAAGCACCTGGCTGGGCTTTTCCGTGCGCTGCTAGGAGACAGGATCTTGCTCTTCACCACAGATGGGCCTGAAGGACTCAGATGTGGCTCCCTCCAGGGCCTCTACACCACTGTGGATTTTGGCCCAGGTCTTCTGAGCGAGGGTGGAGTAGAGTCTGGGGAAGGGGCACCTCTTCTATGTTTATCTTTCACTTTTGTCTTCTCTCTGCAGCTGACAACATGACCAAAATCTTTGCCCTGCTTCGGAACTATGAACCCCATGGGCCACTGGTGAGGAGCTGGAGGGGAGGGCAATCAAAGCAGGAGTTGGGGTTGGGAATGGGTCGAGCTCAGCCCCCATCTCACTTGTGGCTGCTTTCTAGGTGAACTCCGAGTATTACACAGGCTGGCTGGATTACTGGGGCCAGAATCACTCCACACGGTCTGTTTTGGCTGTAACCAGAGGCCTAGAGAACATGCTGAAGCTGGGAGCCAGTGTGAACATGTAACTGGAGACACGGGGGCCAACGTGAAGGCAAAACGGGATGTTGGGGAGGAAAGTGATTCAGTGGGTCAGCTTTTCCCTTTCCCCCCACCTTACCCCCCTTCAGGTACATGTTCCATGGAGGTACCAACTTTGGATACTGGAATGGTGAGTCCAGGTGGTCCCTGGGGTGGAAGCAGGGAGGCATCAAGGAATTAGAATCCGAGGGCTGGGTAGATTAGGAGGTCTCAAAGCTGGATGTGGCCACCACTGCCCCTTCTGATGGCAAAATTCTTTTTGTGAATTTCTTTGCTTAGTGCCTGTCATTTGAAAGACACTGAATGAATGAAATTGGTTTGACCCCAGGTGCTGATGAGAAGGGGCGCTTTCTTCCAATTACTACCAGCTATGACTACGATGCACCAATATCTGAAGCAGGGGACCTCACACCTAAGCTTTTTGCTCTTCGAAACGTCATCAGTGAGGTGCCCTACTACTCCGTTAAGCGCCAAAGGCTTTTATCAGTTTGGGGAAAGGGAGTACCTAAATTGTTAGTAATGGGATCCCATAAATCATTGGTTGTTGTCTGAGCCGCGGAGCCTACAGAACCACTTCCCAGCCACCCAGACGGGACTACTTGGGAAGACGCACACAAGCATTGCAAAATTACAGGATCTTTGTGACCCCTTAAACCCTTTCCCCGGAGCCCAGGTTGAGAGCCCTGTGCTTAGTAGGGTCTGGGAGTAGGGGCTGTTTGTGTGGTTTTCCTATGGCTCCTGAGAGAATTTGGGCTCAGTTCCAGGAAATTCCCTTGGGACCTTTACCTCCCCCCAGCCCCAAGATGATGCTTGGACCTTTGACCCTGCATCTGGTAAGCTCTGGATCATCTTTTCTCTGATCCTACCCCTTTGTTCTCTAAATGGCCCAGCCTTTCTGGCCCTCTATTCTGACTTCCCTTTTATTCTAACACCTTCCCCTTATCCTAACAGGATGGGGATTTGCTGTCTTTCTTAGACTTCCTGTGCCCCCAAGGGCCCATCCATTCAATCTTGCCCATGTCCTTTGAGGCTGTCAAACAGGTAAGGGACAATCCCACGTCCTGGAGGCACGGGAGCCTTCCCCAACAGCCACGGGAGCCTTCCCCAACAGCCGTAGCCAGAGGTTCCCTCTGCTGCCCATCTTCCCCATAGTATCCTCTCTTCCTCTCATTTCATCTTAAGTACTTAACTCTTCCACACCCAGGACCACGGCTTTATGTTGTACCGGACTTTTCTGCCCCATCCCATTCCTGAGCCAACGCAGTTCTGGGTGCCTAACAATGGAGTCCACGACCGTGCCTATGTAATGGTAGATGGGGTAAGGACCTCATTCCGGGCTACCCTGTGAGCACATCCCCTCTTCTCCCAGCACCCTGTATCTGCCCACGTTTGCAGAAGGGGCCACAGATAAGCTGGGATGAGGAAGAATTTGAGTCGAAGGTTCCAGAATACATGGGTAACGAAGGACGGGCTACATTCTCTTTGCTCTCCAAACACGTGTGCTAACGTAGCTTCCTGTGTCATGGCCACAAGCTAGAGCCCTTCCTCTCAGAGCGCATCTTATCCACAGGTGTTTCACGGTGTCTTGGAACGAAACATGAAACACCAACTATTTTTGACGGGGAAAGGCGGGGCCAAATTGGACATCTTACTGGAGAACATGGGGAGGCTCAGTTTCGGATCTAACAGCAGTGACTTCAAGGTGAGCTAGCCTTGCCTGTCCCTTCTCCTGCATATTCGTGTCCATCAAACTCCCTTGGAAAAATAGGGGCCTACTGGAAGACAAACAAGAGCCCTGTGCTTAGGAGTTAGGCAGCAAAGTAGTCGCTTGTGGGGATCTAGACATGGCCACTAGTTGCATCCCAGGGCTTGATTAGGGACAGTTACACCATAAGAGCTTAAGAAATGATGAATTTTTATTTGCCTTCTTCACAGGGCCTACTAGAGCCACCAGTTCTGGGGCAAATGGTCCTTACCCAGTGGCTGATGTTCCCTCTGAATGTTGATAAACTCGTAAAGTGGTGGTTTCCCCTCCACTTGATGAAAAGTACACGTCCTCAAGCTCCTTCTGGCCCCACCTTCTACTCCACAACGTTTCCAATTTTCGGAGAAGGCGGGGACACTTTTCTCTTTCTACCTGGATGGACCAAGGTACTGCTGACATTGGGGTCAGGGTGATGAGAAGAAAATAACGTTAGAAGGGGGAGCGGAAATTATTCCTGATTAGAAACCCAAAAGGAGGGACACCTGGATGGCTCAGTCAGTTGAGTATCTGACTCTCGATTTCGGCTTGGGCTGTGATCTCAGGGTTGTGGGATTGAGCCCCGCATCAGGCTCCATGCGCAGCATGGGGAGTCTGTTTGGGATTCTCTCTTTCCCTCTCCCTCTGCCCCCTACCCCCACTCCTGTGCTTTCTCTTTCTCTAAAATAAATCTTTAAAAAAACCCAAAGAAACCCAAAAGGGGGTGATTTTACCCCCTTGAGAGCTGACCATTTTCTTCCACTCTCTATTCTCTTCTTCAGGGCCAAGTCTGGATCAATGGGTTTAATTTGGGCCGGTACTGGACAAAGCAAGGGCCACAACAGACCCTCTATGTGCCACGACCTCTGCTGTTTTCTAGAGGAGGCCTCAACAAAATTACACTGCTGGAGCTAGAAAGCGTGCCTCTCCAGCCCCAAATCCAGTTTGTGGATAGGCCTATACTTAATAGCACTTCACATAAGACATTTGTCTATTCCCTCTCAGTTGAAACGCCAAGCGCCCCTGAACCAATGGAGTTAAGTGGGCACTAAAAGAAAGGTAACCTTGGACATGGAGTGGGCAGGATCCCTTGGTGCTGGCCACGGTGACCGCCAGGAACCAAAGGCCACAGCCTGAATGCAATACAAGTGCAGTTTCCTTGCCAAACTTTATTACGATTAAAGTTCCAGAGACAGTACCAGCTCCACACCCTCTGTGGCCCTGTCTTTGCCCTGGTTCCTGAGTGTCCTTCTTAATCTTCCAAATACTCCGGTTTCACGGGAAAGAAGAAACCTAGGGCTACTGTGAATGCACCCTCTCAGGGCCCAGAGTTGGCCCAGGTGCAGCTGTAAAGAGGTCAGGAAGAGGGCTTGGCAGCCTGGCAGCGGTGATCCCGGAGGCAGCGTGTGGAGCAGAAAGAGAAGTCAAGATAGTGAAAGGGAATGAGGCCTTGGAGGGATGTCCCACAACTCCAGCAGCGCCTGGACAAGAGGAAGATAGATGGCTGAACAGGTACCCCAGAAACTTTCCAATCCAAGCTCTTCCCCGCTCCTCCGGCCATATCTGGTTTTGTTCCAGAGGTTTTCTCAGAAGGTCTCAAGTCCCCCCTCCCCCCAACAGCCTTTTGGAGGACTCTGCAGTATTCATTCCACTTGCCCACACCTGGCCCTGTACTCACTGAGCACAAAGGGTTGCAGGATTGGGCGTCTGCGGGGTGGAGACTCCCAGCTGGGCAGCCAGCCTGCGCTCTGCGGCCAGAGCTCTCTGAGGGGAAGAGAAGTCTTATTAAGGACAAGGCCCCAGAGGTGGACAGGGTGCCTGAGAAGTGACAGCTGCACGCTGGGAAGGGGTCAGACCTCTGAGGAAATCAGGGCTGTGGAAGAGAGAACCTCCAGCCTCACCTTCTCACGATCGCTGAGGGCAGCAAATTGCCGCTGCTCTTCTTGCTCCCTCTCCTCCTGCTCCCGCTGCTTCCGCTGCTGTTCCTCCCTTTGCCGCCGGGCAGCCTTCTGCTCCCTTTTCCGCATAGCCTGCCGTGCCTCCATTTCTGGCGTCAGTGGCCCTGGCACCTGGAGGATTTCCAGGGAGGTGTAAGGTAAGACCCATACAAACTGTCCTTGGGAAAACTATAAGAAAGTGGAAAAGATCTTAGCCAGGATCAATGCTGCCTTCCTACTCTACTGCTGCTTCCTTTTCCAGCTGACCTGAGCCTTGCTGTAATCGTAAGCATCTGGATTCTTCTCCATGAACCTTCGGAACTCATTACGCGTTGACTTGTCAGCTGCAACTGTATATGGTGGCCGGGCCCGGGAGTCCCTAGGTGCGAAAACCCCCCAAAGTGGGTTCAACTCGCCTCCTCCATCTCCCAACCTCACCCAAACAGATCAAGGGGAATACTAGCAAGTAGCCAGTACCAACGTTAGCCTCCAGATGATCCTCTCTATACCCCAAAGGGCTCGGCTTGGGGACCATTACTTACTGTACAGTGGGGTCGGCACCTGCCTCCAGCAGCAGGCGAACCACTGAGCCTCTCCCAGCTGCAGCTGCTGCATGCAGGAGGGTGAAGCCATTGGAGCCCAAGGGGGCACTGAGCAGAGACAGAACTCCAGGGTCTGTGGGGCCAGCAGCTAGCTGGAGTTTCAATATCCCAACATCTCCAGCTCTGCAAGCAGCCAGAAGCATGTCCCAGAGCTCTGACTGATCAGGGGTCTTGGCCTCATCCAGGGAAGGCCCCAAAGGGGCTGCATGTGCCTGGGCGGACTGTGAGAAGGCCTCATTTCCTTGAGGTTGCTGGGGAAGAGTCACATGCACCCCGGCTTCCAGGTCCTGGCTTCTCTCCTTCTTATTCCTTTTTCTCCTTCTCCGCTTTGGCAATACCTCAAACTCACGAAGATCCAGGGTCCCTACTGTCAATTCTACTAGCTCCAGCTCCACCTGGAAGCTGTCCTCTCCCTCCGACCCTGAACCTAGGGAAAAATACGATGTTAGGTCCATCTAAAGAAATACACAGAGGGTGGAAGGATGTGGGCTGCCCCAGATGTATAATAATGTACATAAAAAGAGAATCCAGATTGTCTTGAAATGAAATTAAGTATTTGTATTTTGTCACCAAAGATCAAGTAGCACATCAAGAGCTGAATCCATTAGTATCCCATGTAGAAATGAGGCTCTCAGCTCAGATGGAGACAGGCCCAGAAGGACCCACGCAGGGACAAACGTCCTTAGGCTCTCCCCTTGAGCAGCCTTAGGATGGTACACAACAGGGGAGAGCATGGGAGCTGTGCAGGCTAAGAACCAAGCAGGCCTCAGCTCCAAACTGCAGCATCCAGTAAGAGGGCAATTATGTGAGATTCGCGCCACACAAGCCTCTGTTTCACATACTTAGGTCATATTTCCTAAGTGCTGGGGATACATCAGTGAACAAAAGAGAACAGGAAGTTGGGAAAGGTGATTAAACCCATCTTAGTAATTGCTACCGGGTGCCCCTTATCGTAACAGCCCTATGCGTGTGTGTAATGGTATGTGTGTTATGTAAGGGGTCATTATAAAGAGGCAAGTGACAGTAGGAGATTTGACACTGCATTTCCAGGATAGACACCCAGATAGAGTTGACAGTTGCCAGATGGTGCTCAAACCCTGTTTGGGAGATTCCTCATTCTGCCCAAGTGTCTCATTTTCATCACTGGAGACCTTTCTTTCTGCCTCGAGAGCCTTCTTCCCCACTCTCATTGTCTTCCTATGTGCTTGAGGTGAGTCCAACCTGGCTGTCTCCCGGGGGTCTTCTCCTGCCATAAAACAAAAGATGTTTCTCAAGTTTAGCTGAGGAGAAGCCAGCTCAGGTCTCAATGAAGATGCTGTCTGGATGTACAAATGAGAACCCAAGGCTTGGGCTGGAAGGTACAGGAAGATCTAGGGAGACTGGGGGGTCTGGATCAAAGGCTCACCATGGACATGCAAGGTGGTCAGCTTATGGAACACACGCTGTAGCTCTCTGAAGGTAGGTCTGCGGGTAGCAAGGGGGATATCCCAAAGTCGGGGGTCCCCTCGTTGCAGGGGTGCACCATGGCCTCTGAAGAACAGGGCCCGGCCAGAGTGGGGGGCACGCAGCAGTATTGTCCCAGCCTCCTCCAGTGCTTTAGCCCAGCCTGGCCCTGCCAGCAAGTCACGAACATCCTAGGGAAGAGAGTAACTCAGCCCTGTATCTTCACTTGCTATTTTTAAATCTCCAACCCAAAAAAATGGGCCACAAGATGATGTATAAGGAATGTGAAATAGAAAATAATATGAGGGAAGAATGAGAGGATGAAGACTCTTGGGGATCCATTCCTAGTCTACTGTTGCCTTCCCAGAAATAATGGGGTCAAGCTCCCCACGCTAACATTTGATGAGAGGGGGGAAAAAGTAGATTAGCAGACCACCAGATCTGAGACGCCTAACTTACCTTGTATAATGTGGCTTCATTATAGCGCCTCAGGTTGGCTCCGGCAGACCGAGAAGCCCCACCCCGGGCATCGCGAATTCCCTGGGCTGTGCCCCGCTTGGCCCGCACTGTGTAGCGGTGAAAGGTTTTGTGTGTCACCACGTCTCTTCTGTAGACAACACAGACTCAGTACTGGAAATTAGCCCGTACTCCCAGGCTAAGGGGGTCCAGTCCATCCTTCTACCCCATGCAGCACCCTCTCACCCTTGGAAAATGGCGCCAGCAAAGTGCCCAGCTGCAGCCATGAGCACCACATAGGATCTGGGACCTCCGTTCTGCAGGTTCTGTAGCAGCAGTTCTGGTTCTTCTGGTGGTACCTGGACGACAGCACAAACATGCCCACTGTATTCACGGAGAGGAAGAAATCAGTGCAAAGTGTCTCATGTGCATGATCTCATTTCATACAACCATCCTGAGGCCTGTCTCCACTTTACAAATGAGGACATTTGAAGCTGGTAGTCGCGATCAAATGGTTAAACAACCACTCAAACCTATATTGGTCTGTTTCCGAACTTAATTCCATTACACTCGACCTCAGATTCAGGCCAATTCAGTCCAACACTGTGCTGTCCATTGTGGTACCCACATTCAACAGGAAGAAGAGAAATAGGAAATGGCCTGGGCTTAGGGGAGATCTAGGCTGAGTGCTCAAAGGCCACAGTTGACCACACAACTTGTGCTGCCACTTGCCTGGCGAGGGCCTAGCACACAGCGATAGGCATAAAGAAACTGGCCCTGGGCGTTTTGGAAAAGAACCCGATGTGGGTGGAAGCCTTGGGGTCTGCTGGGCTTCTCAAATTCAGCCCTCTCCTCTTCTGGTATCTGCAAGTCCTCCTCACTGGCTGAGTCTGAGTCTTCTGATCCTGAAATGCTGGAAAGATCTCCTGAAAATGACATGAGGTGCACAAGTTTGGTGTTCCATCTTTGACCTTACCTCAAGCTCCTAAACTAGGGCCTTCCTCCACCCCCATGTCCTACTCAACACAGGTCTCCTACCAGCCGTCACCTGTGGAGCTCTGCTTTTCAAAATCCAGGGCAGACAGGAGAGGCTTGTCCTTGAGACGCTGCTTTAGGTTAAACCGATGCCAGTCAAGTTTATAATGTTCCCTCTGGTAGGAGGTAAATAAGGAGGCTGATGTGGAAATATGCCCCAGCCTGGCCCTTAATAGTAAGTATTCAAGGCCAGAGAGAGAACTCCAGGAAGTATGACCAGGTAATACCAACTGCCTTAGTCAAAACATGGACCTTTATTAATTAAAGACAAATCACATGTCTGCCTCTCCTCACCCACCATTATACTTTTTGCTTCTACCATTTAGCTCAGCACCTGGCCTTTTACCTGTTCCTGGTGGTTCTGGAAGGTCTGGTCACAAGTGGAACAAAATAACTTCTCTGAAATATCCAGGAGACCCTGGGGTAGTTTTCTTTCTGGGCTTGCTGAACCTAAATAAGGGGAGGGTAATTAGAGGTGGAAAGGGAGTCCAAATCTGCAGTACCTAGAAATTACATGCAGTGTCTGATACACAAATGAAAAAGGTGGCACATCCTTTCCTTCAAAGAATTTATAATCTAGGAATCATGAGATAAATGGCACAGTGATCACTTTATATGGGAAGTATGCTTCTGAAAAGATGTGAGACAAACATATATCAAACAGTCTGACGGGATGGGTTAAGGGAATACTGTAGAAACGTTAAAATTATTTTTAACTGCAAAAAACACTTCCCAAATGCCCAGTTTTTAGCTTACATTTACTTTTTTTTTTTTAAGATTTTATTTATTCATGAGAGACACAGAGAGGGGTGGGGCAGAGACACAGACAGAGGGAGAAGCAGGCTCCATGCAGGAGCCTGACACGGGACTCAATCCCGGGTCTCCAGGATCAGGCCCTGGGCTGAAGGCACCGCTAAACCGCTGAGCCACGGGGGCTGCCCATAGCTCACATTTCCAATTACCGTGTGGTTTGTTTAAAAAAAAAAAGTCTAGGGGGATCCCTGGGTGGTACAGCGGTTTGGCGCCTGCCTTTGGCCCGGGGCGCGATCCTGGAGACCCGGGATCGAGTCCCACGTCGGGCTCCCGGTGCATGGAGCCTGCTTCTCCCTCTGCCTGTTCTCTGCCTCTCTCTCTCTCTCTGACTATCATAAATAAATAAATAATTAAATAATTAAAAAAAAAAGTCTAGGAAAAACAGCCAGAGACAAATTAAGGTTGTAAAAAAAAAAAAAGTTTTATATTCAGCAAGAACGAATGATTTGATTGGAAGCCAGTTACAGGGGATCCCTGGGTGGCGCAGCGGTTTGGCGCCTGCCTTTGGCCCGGGGCGCGATCCTGGAGACCCGGGATCGAATCCCACGTCGGGCTCCCGGTGCATGGAGCCTGCTTCTCCCTCTGCCTGTGTCTCTGCCTCTCTCTCTCTCTCTCTCTCTCTCTCTCTCTCTCTGTGACTATCATAAAAAAAATTAAAAAAAGGGAATCCAGTTACATTTGGACAATTTCGAAGGATTTCTTTTGCAGGCAGTCTCACCCAGAGACAGAGTGAATGTTAGATAAATTTTATCCAGTAGGAAGATGTCAACACGGGCTCTTAAACCGGGGAATTTATCAATTAGAATGTGTTCCCTGGACAAGCGCTAAGCTCTAAAGAGCCTGCCCCGTTCCTCATGGGTCCTCCCCAAACCTTCCCAGGTACCTGGACAGGAAGTCCGCAGAGCCTGGGCCGGAGCCGCCTCCGATGGGTGGCTCACCAAGCTCAGGCCCTGACAGACCGGAGCATCCACGTTGAGGTCAAACAGGGAGACCAAGGCAGGAACCCGGGCTGCAGCTGAAACCGGCGACATGGCTGGGCAGAAATTATGTGGGAGCAGCTCCTGGAGCAGAAGGGGATGTGGGGGGGTAAGAACGGAGCCCCCCAGGGTGCGATCCTACCGCCCGGCGGCCTGACTCGGCCTCCTCCACGCCGCGGGGCACCCAGTCCGCTCTCGGGGTTAATACGTGACCCCTGCCCGGTTTCTCAAGGGGGAAGAAGCATCCGGCTCCCACATCGAGTCCGAGAGAGCTGAGGCTCCCCCATCGACCGCTCCTCGTTACCCGTGCGACGAGCTCCAGCAAGGGCTAAGCCGCGTGGACTCGCCGCCGCCCCCAGAAGCTGCACCAAAGGTCCCGGGCAGCCGAGCGGCACAGACGTCCACGATTCCAAGCCCGGATTTCTGCAACACCACAACAATCTCGTCACTACGGGGCCGCGGAGGGGACACGCGGCGTCGCCCACACCTTGGCCCCGCCCCAAAGGGCGCGCACTATTGGTCCTCTGGCTGCCCGAAGCCCACTGCGAACCCTTAGTCCCGCCCCCGAAGCCGGGAATGGGCCGTCGTGTCTCCGCCCCCTCCCGCTCATTGGTCAGACCGGCTGCGGGTGACAGTGAGTGGCAGGCGCCGGGCCTAGAGCTTCGGGTCCGGACGAACCCAGTGGAGCCGACCGAGCCCCTGGAATCACTCAGGTCACGGTTCCTGAGGTGAAACGCGAGATCGATTACTGGAATCTCCGGGCCCGGGCCGGGCCTGACGGAGGGCGCCCGCGGGGCCCTAAGTGAGCGCACGGCGGGTAACGGGGGGCAGGGGGCGCCGCGGGAGGGGCGGAGGCGCGCGGCTGGAATGTTTTGATGGCGGGGGCGCGCGGGCGGGGGCGCGCGGGCGTCGGGGCCGCGCGCGAGGTTGTCCGCTGTTGGGAACCGAGCCCTCGGCCTGGCGCCGGGCGACCCAGGGGCGCGCCGGGCTGGGTCTTGGCTGGGTGTGGGGGGCATCCAGCCCACCCGGGCCGTCGGCTGTCGGGCTGGCTCGAGTCTTCCAGCATCCGCAGGCACCCCGAGCCCGCCCGGCCCGCGGGGCTCCTTGACCCTGGGGCCACCCTGACCCCGTGAGTGGTGAGTGCCCCGAGCGGAGCGCCGTCAGCCCTTCCGACCCAGGGAATCCCACTGGGGCCAGGCTGGGCCGCGTTCCACGGCCCCCGGGGTCTGCACCGGCGGGTGAGTTCCCCGAGCGCCGCCTAGACGTGCCTGGCCCAGGGACCTACAGACCCCACAGTTGGCCCAGGATCTGGGTCCACACCGGCCCAGTCAGTGTTTCCCGTCCAGGAATTACGCCTGCCTGTTGGGCCTCTGGTGCTAGGGAGCCAGGGGAAGAGGATGAACAGAAAAGTCTTTTCAGAAAAGACTCTCTTCTTGGGTGTTGGCTTTCGGGGGGCTTTGAGGACCCTGTGAGGCCTAATTTCCGAGAATGAGGTGGGGAGATGGAAAAACAGTCCAGGGTAGCTGTCTGACCTCAGGCCTGTACTGACTCAGTCTTTACAGGTTCAACAAGCCACTTCTTGGGATCCTAGAATTGGATGAGTGGCCCAGTATAGTACAGACCAGAGGAAGTACATGGAGCCCCCATGCCTCTCCCCCACTGCAGCCTCCCTGCCCCGTGCTTGGCCTCCTCTTAGTGGAGGGTGGGTGGGCAGGAGGGCTGGCTTTCTTTTATCCCCACTCCCCACTCTCTGGGGCCTGACACCTTCTCCTCCAGCAGCTGCAGAGCCAGGGCATCAAGGGCTGGAGTGTGGAGCAGACGCTGTCCATGGAGCTGGTAGGGCCATGTGCTTATCTCAAACCTTTGTTTACAGACTGCTTCCAAACTGTTAGTCTCTTGGGAGACCCGGGTTTCTCCAGGAGGGCAGAGGGAAGTCCCCTTATCTCCACTAAATAGAAGATGAAACAGCACCCCCCCCCCCACCAGCACCAAAGGGGCAGAGGCTGGCTTCAGACCAGCAAGACCTCAGTAGGCACTCAGTAAAGGCTCTGGGATTGACTGGCTTCCCAGGCCCCAAGCTCTCGGCTCTCCTTTGGTAACTACTCCTCTGCCTCTGAGTGGAAAAGACTGGAAGTAGACACCAAGCCCAGAGATCCTTTCTCACTCTTTCTGGTCTACGAGGCAGGGCAGGAGACAAGCAGCACCAAAGTCTGAACCTGGATCTCTTTGTCCTTACCGTTAGGTGGACAACGTGGACAGGGGGCGGTGGTGATGGCGCAGTTCGACACGGAGTACCAGCGCCTCGAGGCCTCCTATAGTGATTCACCCCCTGGGGAGGAGGACCTATTGGTGCACGTCCCTGAGGGGAGTAAATGTGAGTTCTTGGACATGACAGCAGAGCCGGGGCATGGGGAGGAGAGGGTCGGTGGAGGAACTCCGAGGGAGCAGGGGGGCTCGTGTTCCTTCAGGGCTCTGACCTCTGTGCTCCTGCGCCCACAGCACCTTGGCACCACATCGAAAACCTTGACCTCTTCTTCTCTCGAATATCCTTTGTGTCTCTGTGTTGGAGCTGTGGGACCGTTAGCCCCTCTCTAAGCTGGGCCCCAGAATGGGAAGTTGGGGTGGCTTTGATTCTAATCTCTGGAAGGGAGATGGGAACTCTTCTGAAGGCTGAAAGAGGCTGGGGCAATGGTGATCGTTATAGATAATGATACCTCACGTTTCCCAAGAGCTACGTGCCTTTCACTTTGTGGTGTCAGTTTTTATAAGGAACCTCTCTAAAGAGGATCTTTCTTTTTGACGGGACACTAATAACTATAATAATTAGTATCTTTGATTTACTCTGTGCCAGCTTTGTGTTAAAATACTTCACGTTCATTATCTCATACCTAATAATACCATGAGACAGGCGCTTTTACCTCCAAAGTACCACTGCAGACGAAAGTTGAGGGAGTAACATTGGCCAAAGTCACACAGCTAGAAAGTCCTAGAGCCTAGGAGTTAAGTTCAGGTATGTGACTCCCCAAAGTCTGTGCCCCGAATTGCTGTCTCTCTAATCAACCACGTTTTTCTTGACAATTCTACGTGTATAATCTACACCAGAAGAATGGCTTCACTTGCATGCTCATCGGGGAGGTCTTTGAGCTCATGTAAGTCTAAGAAGGGACAGTGATGTGGGGAAGCACTGTGTGTCAGCCTTTTCCTCTTCCTGAGCTCAGCCAGCCCTGGCCATTCCTGCCAGTGCGGCTCAGTCACTGGGTGTGGCACCCAAATTCACAATCCTGTTTATTTGTTATCTCGCTTTTAAGGAATTCTTCCTAAATCCTCACTCTTCTCTGAAGAGAGCTCAGACTTGACCATTTCATCAGAGCTCCCGTGGGATGGACAGGGTTCAGTCAGGAGGTCTCAGAGAGGTTCAGTCAGGAGGTCTCAGAGATGCCCGCCACTTAAGAAAAGTGTGTGTTCTGCTTTGGGTATACCTAGGAAGGCAGAGCGCTTTCTCAAAGGAAGAAGTCACATGACCTTGCCAAAGGGGAAGGGATTGAGAAACCCTCCCTCAATAACTAAAGACTGTAAATCCCTTTCGGGCTTCTAAATACTATCTCAAAAGGAAATCAGGGATTGGGAAGCCAGACCACAATCACAAGATCTTGGAGCAACTCTAGTAAATGGTGGAAGAGATTACCATGCGGTGAGGTGAGGAACGCAGGCTAATTGTGCGATGCCCAAGGCTAGGAGGAAAAAGCAGGAGCTGGTTTGGGCCTAAGAAGGTCCCTGGGGCTGAGTGGTGGAGATAGCCCACGGGGAGTTTTCCAGCCTCAGCACGTCCCCCGGGGGTTGCTCTCTCACCTCATTCTGCTGCTTCCAGACTCTTCTCTCTGCCCCACACTATTTCACTGGTTGCCCCTCTGACTCTTGGGCTGTGGCCCCTCTTCCCAATTCCTCAGGCAGTTCCTTTTTGTGGTTGCCTTCACCACCTTCTTGGTCAGCTGTGTGGACTATGACATCCTATTTGCCAACAAGATGGTGAACCATAGTCTTCACCCCACGGAGCCTGTCAAGGTCACTCTGCCAGACGCCTTTTTGCCTGCCCAGGTCTGTAGTGCCAGGTAAGGGCCGCAGGTCAAAGGACACCAGAGCCAGAGTTCCACCAGCAGGTAGGGAATGGAGTGGGGTGTGAGGCAGTAGCGCATGCCCTAAAACACAGACCAAGGCTCAGCCCCGCCATAGCCTTCAGGAGTGTCCTGTCTGCCAAGACTCCTCAAGGGCCACCCCTCCTCCCCTGCTATTTCCCCCACCAGGATTCAGGAAAATGGCTCCCTTATCACCATCCTGGTCATCGCTGGGGTATTCTGGATCCATCGGCTTATCAAGTTCATCTATAACATTTGCTGCTACTGGGAGATCCACTCCTTCTACCTGCATGCTCTGCGTATCCCCATGGTGAGGCTGGGAAGTTGGGCAGCTGGCACCACAGCCTCGGGAAGGGTGGGGCCTCACTGGCAGGTCAAGGAGCATCTGCGTACAGGCTCCAGCGGGCTAATGCGGGGCAAGGAGTCCAGGCTGCAAGCCAGCCTTGCCTAGCGTGTCCCTCCCCCGCCCTGCAGTCCGCTCTTCCGTACTGCACGTGGCAGGAAGTGCAAGCACGGATCGTGCAGACCCAGAAGGAGCACCAGATCTGCATCCACAAGCGTGAGCTGACAGAGCTGGACATCTACCACCGCATCCTCCGCTTCCAGAACTACATGGTCGCCCTGGTTAACAAATCCCTCCTGCCTCTGCGCTTCCGCCTGCCGGGCCTTGGGGAGGCCGTCTTCTTTACCCGTGGCCTCAAGTACAACTTCGAGCTGATCCTCTTCTGGGGACCTGGCTCCCTGTTTCTCAACGAATGGAGCCTCAAGGCCGAGTACAAACGCGGGGGGCAACGGCTGGAGCTGGCCCAGCGCCTCAGCAACCGCATCCTGTGGATCGGCATCGCCAACTTCCTGCTGTGCCCCCTCATCCTCATCTGGCAGATCCTCTATGCCTTCTTCAGCTATGCTGAGGTGTTGAAGCGGGAGCCCGGGGCCCTGGGAGCACGTTGCTGGTCACTCTATGGCCGCTGCTACCTCCGCCACTTCAACGAGCTGGAGCATGAGCTGCAGTCCCGCCTCAACCGGGGCTACAAGCCCGCCTCCAAGTACATGAATTGCTTCTTGTCACCTCTGCTGACGCTATTGGCCAAGAATGGCGCCTTCTTCGCCGGCTCCATCCTGGCTGTGCTTATCGCCCTCACCATCTACGACGAAGACGTGTTGGCTGTGGAACACGTCCTCACCACCGTCACACTCCTGGGGGTCACCGTGACCGTGTGCAGGTGGGCTGGGGCAGCAGGCGGGAGCAAGTTGGACCAGCGTCCCTGGGAAAGGCTTGTCTCTCACCGTGGCTCCGATCCCCCAGGTCCTTTATCCCGGACCAGCACATGGT